TTTTTTGCAGTGAAAAAGGGTGTGGTTGAGGTTGTTGGAGTTGAGGAAGAAAAAACCAATGAAAATCAACATATTTTTTGCTTTATTGTCTTCATTATAGACTTAATCTAAAGACCCTTTTGCATCAAGTTCACAATTCAACCTTCCGTTAGATTTGTGTGATTTGGGTAGTGATTGTGGGTCAAGAAGATGTGTGAGGTAGTTAGATTTTACTGTTTTATTGATGTTTAATTTAATTGTATTGTATCTTAGAAGTTTTTTATTTACTGTTTTTAAAAATAGATTTTAACTAGTTTTTTATTTTTATTAATAGATATCAATATTTTCATTAATAATTATATTAAATAACTTAATTTTACAATCATAAAATTATCAAAATCATTATTTAATTTTAAAATTAATCTCGGAATTAAAAAAAATCAAACTACTTTTAATTTCAAATGCTTATGTAGTAAATCAAAATCTAAATTAATACTATTAGACTCATGTGGGTAATAAATATGTGGCAATAAAGTCAAGATATTATTTTTAATTTTATCAATGTATTTTATTTTTTTGGAAAATTATCCTCGCTTTTTCTTCTTTTTTAATGAAATTTAGTTTTATTTAAGACCTAAAAATACTTTTAATTATTTTAAAAATATTATTCCACCCATCTTTACTATTTTTTAAAGTGTTTGAATACATTGTTTTTATTTCTATAAGGACGATTGTTAGTAATGGTGAAAACAAATTCTGGATTTTTTTAATTATTGATATGTGTGTTTTAATTTTATTCATAAAATTCTATAAATTTTTAATTTTGTTTAATTTTCAATTCAACTAATTAATTTGTTGGTGCAAAAGAGAAAGCAAAAGAGATGATAAAAAAAAAAATGAGAGATGAGAATGAAAGAACCGTAAAGGGTGCAAAATGGAATGAGGACGTGGTTCTCGTTGGCGAATTTGGAATCTAACGATGAAGCTAAACAAAAGTATTTAGTACAAATGTCAATTAAATTTGTATCCATGGATATCAATTCGTTTCAGTCTCAAGTTTGATCTGGAAAAATTTGAGTTGATCAGGGACGAGTTCGGATTTTCTCCACTTTAAAAAGACGGGGACGAGAATGGGTAATGCAATCTTCACCTCGACTCAGTCCAGTCCCCGATTTTATATTTAAATTTAAATTTTAAAATATTAATATTTTAAAAGTATTTCCTTTTTTTCTATTACATATAAAGTCATTTTTTTATATTTCACCAATTTTTATGTTTCTTCTATCCACTTTTTAATTTTTTAGTCTTTTATATCAATTAATTTATTATGTTATTCTCTTACCTTTCAGTTTTTCATATTTTCTTAATCTCTCCCATCAATTTTTTTTCAATCTTTTTAACCAATTTGATTAACACAAAGTTAATTTTTTTATTCTTTATCTTTTTCTAAATATTTTACATAAATTTTAGTAGTAACTAATATTATTTTATTTATAATTTATATTTATTAGGTTTTATTATGTCATATTTTTTTATCTTATTATTCTTATTTATTATATATCAAATTTTATCTTAATAAAATAATTATATTTTAAAGGATTAAAGGAATTGATAATTTAAACTTTTATTATTTCAAACTAATTGAATAAGAATTAACTTATTAAATATTTCCTTATAAACTATATATTTCATATTTTTAAATGACAACTTAAAAATGAATTAACTTATATATATAATCAAATGTTTGAATACAATATTATAATAATAATAATGTTATAAGTATCCAAATATTTCAATACGAGTGTTATAATAATAATATTATAAATAAAAAATGATTAAATATTTATTTTACATATATATATATTAATATAAATATAATAAATTAAAATGTATATTTAATTAATAATAATTATAAATTATAAATATTTAGTTATATATAAAAAGTAGATAGTAAAATTAATTTATTATAAATACAATTATTTTTTAAAAATAATATAAATCGGGGACAAGGCGGGGCGGGAATCCAAAATCTAAGCGAAAACGAGGATGAAGACTTAATTTCTAACTCCAACGAAGATCAAAGACGAGAGACGAAATGGTTAAAAATGTCGGAACGGAAATCGGGAAGACAAAACCCGCTCCGTCCCCTTGCCATGCCTCGTAGAGGCAAAATTGTGTTAAGGCTAATGCATGCGGAAACGGACATAATGAAGTTTCTTTCTACTTTTCTTTGGTTTTTGTTTGCTACTTCATCTTCCTTTATTTTAAAAATATATATTTCTCTTATTTTCTTTCGAAGTTTATTAAATTTCTGTGTTTTAAAAGTTAAGATATTAGAAACGATTTAATTTAGATTAAGGAAGTAAAAGAGAAGGTAAAATATTAAAAAAAAATCAGTGAACATTTTTATCATTATTTAAATTTATAAAATGTTATAAAAATTGATTAATTTAGATTGAGGAAATAAAAGCCAAGAACTGATATCAAAATAATTTTCTTCATTTAATTTTTTATATTACAAAAATATTTATATATTAAATGACGTAATATGTTTTTTAACATGTGAAAGTACGATGTTCTAATAATTATTCTTTCTTTTTATATTTGTTCAGAAATATAAAATTATGTATCTTTGTTCTCTACGTACCTTTGTTTCAATATTATTTCCTGTCCATTGAAATTGACAAAACTATTTAAGACAGAATTTCAATTCGTATATATAATCAAAGACGAAGATACCATTAATAAAACACAATAGTTTTTATTTTTTTAATATTTAAAAATTAGTTTTTAAAAATTATTTCAATAAAATAATTATTGTATATATTTTTTTATTAACTAAAAAAGTAAAAAATATTTTTAAACCCAATAAACAAACAATATCTAAATCGTTACTCTAATAACATCAAGTAATAAGAAAGAGATACGTGACAATTATTCCACAACAAGAAACCAATTTGAAGTGAATCAGCATCATGTCTTATAAATAAAAAGGTTATAAAAAAACTAAAACGGTAATCTTGAGGGTGTAGTGAAATACAATTTGTTATGGTTTATCCGCTTTTTAACATAATACTTTTATATTAATTTGAAAATACGGAATAAAAATAACATATTATTTGCATACATACCATTATCAATTTAATAATTCTCAACCAATAAAATATTGAAAAGTATATAATAATTTTATTTATTTTTTACTATACTTATCTATAATGTAACAAGTAAAAAGACAAAACTTTAAGTACAATGTTTTATATGCTTTTAATACTATTCTTTAATTAAAATTAATCTTTTCCTTCAATGATAGCATGATAAACGTTCATGTTAAAAATCATTATTAATTATTAGGATTAAATTTCAATTCTGATTAAAAAATAAAATTAAAATCTCCACAACACAACTCTCTCTATTTTTTTCTAAAGTAAGTGGATACATTAATTTTTTACTTTAATTTGAATGCAAAACAAATTGATAGGGCCTGTTAAATTTTAAACGGATTGGGCTGGGTTGGCCCATTTGAGAAGCCCTTTTAAAACCTAACATTAGCCCTATATTCTGTCCGCAGCGGCAGCCACACACAGGAAGCACCGTCGGCGTTTCAACTGAACACCAGGTTTTTTACTTTTTCATACTTTCATTTGTGTCTCTTCTCTGTGTTTCCGTTTCTCTGTTGTGTTTCTTTTGATTTTGAAATATGCTAGTGAGTGAGATCCGTAATTGCGTATACTACACGTTTTTATCAGATAACATTTTTCAGGGACCTGTTGAAATATTATTTCCTAACCCTCAATTATGTACTTTTTAATTTATGTCATGTAATTAAATTAGTGAATTTTGTTTGAAATATTGGTTCAACCATTATAATGAATGGTGAAGTCATCTCGCCATTGTGCATATTTTATGCTTGAACTCCCAACACATTGTAATGAAGCTTGTTTTGAATTAAAGGACTACAGAACGTGATTAAGAAACGTGATTAAGAATCCTATTGGTTTATATTTGACAGAACTATTCCCACCTAAGATGAAAAATGTGAAGCAATTATTTGTATATATGTATTTGATAGATCTAATGTGCTACCTCATTTATTTGTTTTATGAGTTTGACTTGTAAAAAGTCAGAGTAGAACAATTTTCATAGAAACGTCCAATTAGAGACCATTTTACTCATTTTACCTTGCAATCTTATAAATATTAATAACATGACAGTAAGGTAAATTGATAGGAACCGAATTCCAAACGTGAGTAAATAATGTTACAGGGAAATATTTTTTTAAATGATATTATTTATAAAAAAAGTTCACTTTTCCACACAAATTAATTTCGAATTTTAGAATGAGACTCTTTTGCATACCAACTGTTCGAAAAAGGGCCTCAAATTAAAATATGTGAGTTTTGTTATTTGCACAATTTAACGGGTTTCTGGTTTTTCTGTAACAATGTCTCATGTACAAAAAAATCTTATGCTTATGTTTGGTTCCAGCAGATAGAATCTCTCCACTTGGTTTGGTGATGAGTTGGCTGACATTCCATGTCTGTTTGTGTATCTAATCAAACAACGTAGGGAACATCTTTGACTGCTGGCGAGGGTCTGATATTCCTGGATTTGTGGACTTCTTTTAGTACACTTTTATATCATTGTTATGAGCAATGAAATTTCTTACAAGAGAACATCAAACTCTAGTGGCTGCTGGCTTTTGCCTTAATTCGTGTAGACAGGATGGGTAGATCAAGATGGAGGCTACAGTCCATGGCACTACTCCATAAATGCACTTTCTTGATTTACATTCAATACGGGACTTTCATAATTATTTGTGACCACTTCACTATCCTAACACCATATCACCCAATAAGGTTCTCAATAATAAGAACTTTACTCACTTGCTCTTTAAATATCTCTTGTCCATGATCATTCAAAGCCAAATTCGATGTATATATAATTGTGCAAGACCTATTGTATCAACAAGAATTGTCTGCAGTCTCAGTACAGAGTTATCAACGAGCAGCTACATCAACTTGATGTGCAAGCAACAGAATTACAACGAAGCACTTGATGCATTCAATTTCCATCTAAAGAAGTCGAGTATCCAGCTAGAACCAAACACCTATGTGAATCTAATCTTGGCCTGCACCAACTCTAGATCTCTAAATTATGTCAAGAAAATCCATGATCACATTTCAAAATCCAAGTGTAAGCCAGACCTTGTTCTCCAAAATCATATTCTTAATATGTATGGAAAATGTGGTTCTTTGAAGGATGCTAGAAAAGTTTTTGATGCAATGCAGCTGCGAAATGTGGTCTCTTGGACTATAATGATCGCTGGATACATGCAGAATGGCCAAGAGAATAATGCCATCGTCATGTATATTCAAATGCTACGATCAGGTTATTTTCCAGACCAGTTAACATTTGGCAGCATTATTAAGGCTTGCTGCATCGTGGGTGATATACACTTAGGCAGACAACTGCATGGCCATGTCATTAAATCAGGGTATGATCATCATTTAATTGCACAAAACGCTCTTATCTTAATGTATACAAAGCTTGGACAAATTGCTCATGCCTCAGGTGTGTTTGCAATGATTCCCACAAAGGATTTAATTTCCTGGGCTTCCATGATTACAGGGTTTACTCAACTTGGTAATGAGATAGAAGCTTTATATCTTTTCAGAGATATGCTCAGGCAAGGTGTTTATGAACCAAATGAATTTATATTTGGCAGTGTATTTAGTGCATGCAGAAGTCTTCTAGAACCAGAATTTGGAAGGCAAATTCATGGTGTGTGCGCTAAATTTGGTTTAGGGAGGAACAATTTTGCTGGGTGCTCCCTCTGGGACATGTATGCAAAATTTGGATTCTTATCTTCGGCAAAAAAGGCATTTAATCAAATTGAAAGCCCGGATTTAGTGTCATGGAATGCAATTATTGCAGCATTTTCTGATAGTGGTGATGCTAATGAAGTCGTATCATTTTTCTACCAGATGATGCATGTAGGATTGATGCCAGATGACATTACTTTTCTCTCCTTACTCAGTGCTTGTGGGAGCTCTATGAAGCTTAACCAAGGCATGCAAATGCACTATAACGTTCGTGTGTGTTTTTGTACGTGTACGTATACTACTTACAAGGCTAGACCTCTTGCTACTTCAGAGCAAGTTGCTCAAATCATTGCACTTATTCGGGAGGATGAGGATGATTTGGGTTCCAAGTTGAATAATATGAACGTGTCTTTGTCTCATGCATCAGTTATTGACATTTTTCAGAGATTAGCAAGTGAAAGATTTCCAGCATTACAGTTCTTTGATTGGCTTAAAGCTTCCGATCCTAATATCTGTTGTGATCCCGATTTAGGTAGCTTGTTTGTTAATAACTGTGGGTTGTTGGGGAATTATGAGGCAATGATTCCCGTTTTGAGTGAATTTAGCCTTCAAAATGTATTTTTGGGAATGAAGGCTTTTGGGTTTTTACTAGATTTGGGTTTGGACAAGGCTTCTAGTATGGTATCTGTGAAAAAGGTCATGGCTGTGTTCAATGAGGTTGGTGGCGTTTATCAAAGTTGTGGAGTTCAGTTGTTGATAGAAATGTTTGGTCTTTCGGGATCGTTTGAGATAGCTGAGTTTGTGATAAGAACAGCTGGGAGGAAGGTGAAGAACTATCATGTCTTAATGAGGATAATGTGTAAGAGAGGTGATTGTAAAAGAGTAGGAGATTTGGTTATGGAGATGGAGAGAAGTGGTTGTGATATGAATGCAAGTACTTATAATTTGTTACTCAGTTGTCTATGCAAGAGTGGTAACATTGATGAAGCTTGGCAAGTGCTTAAAGCTATGGAGAAAAACCAGGGTATATCTGATGTGCATAGCTTTGATATTCTTATTAACTCGTTTTGTAAGCGCCATCAGTTTGATTTGGCTTTGAAGCTTATTCATAAAATGGCATTGAAGGGTATTGAACCTAGTATTTTAACTCATGCTGCAGTAATAAAGTCCTATTTTGAATCAGGAAAGTATGAGGAAGCACATGAGTATGTGATTGGTTCTGCTGGTAAGTTGAGTTATTCTAGCAATGCAAACTATAGCTTGCTTGCTACCCTTCATTTGAAGAATGGGAATGTGCTGCTTGCCAGTAAGGTTATTTTTGAGATGATGGACAGGGGTCTTAAACCTAATTTTTCAGCATACAAAAAAATTAAGACTTATCTTGAGAAAAAAGATGAAAAAGCCTTGTCTATGGAATTATCAAGAAGATACTTGAGCTTCTTTGAAAAATGAAGAAAGATGCTGGATTTTATGTGACCAGATACTGTAACGGCATTCGGTGTTTGCTATTTGATGATCATCTTGATGTTTTATTAATGACAAAAGCTCATCTCAAGTGGTTGTCATGTAAGAAGAAGAGCAGCAATAGAGGCTCTTAAAATGAGTTAAGTGGTGGAATCAAATGAAAGATATTCCAGCTAAAATGGATAAAGGAAGACCAAGAAAACGTTGGACTAAAAAAGACCTTACAGTAAATTATTTAATTGAAAACGAAGCCCCATGGAGTCCAAAGAAGAAAGCTTGGTTATTGCTGACAAGTGGGGAAAAAAGTGTACGTCAAAAAGGACAGTGCATTCCCCCTCGATTTATCCAAAACAATGATTTTTCATGTAATATTTTTTATGATAATGACAGAGGTAGTTAAGCTTGCCCCTCCCCCAGCCCCCCTCCAAAACAAGCAAAGTGGTGTCTGCCCCCTTTGGTCCCTTAATGCAAATTCTTTAGCTTCGCGCTTGTTTTCTCATATGTTCTTGGTCCTTTAGTCGTCTATTGTTTTGTTTTACATTTATTCTAAGTTTCTGACTTGCCAAAATAATAATAACAATAAAGAGTGAAAAGAAAAATGGGAATTTGATGGCAAACCAATTTGTTGTGGAAGAAGTGGACTAATTGATAAGAATTGTACATCTAATCCCCAGGTATGCTTTTTCAGCAATCTAAATTCTTTTCTTTTTTGTTTTCCTGCCTCACTATCAAACTGAGGGATTTTTCATTCATAGATTGTTGGATCTGTAGTTGTATCCACCAGAGACTCATCGAGGATCACTCAATTTCATTCGGATATTTCTTTGAAGAAAACCCCAATTTTATATGACTGCAGTTTTTGAATCACTCACTACATTTCTAAGTCATCTTCTGACTCTTCTAATAGGTCCCCATCCTTTTGCGTTTACTCAATTGTTTATGCTTTCATCTAAAGTCAGGCAAAACTTGTTGAAATGTTCTTTGACATATATTCACCGTTATGTGGTAGGAATGAAATATGTGAACTTTTAGCCTTAGCACTCGTCACCGAAATCCCCGAAAATCTAGTGTGAAATATAATATTATTTTATTTTCTGTACAATATGTAGAGAGAAAACATACATGTGCTCTGTATAATTGTCTCAATTTTTAGTATGGATGTTGCTATATTTTTGTTCTATGGGAATTATTTATTGCTGTATTTACTCAAGGATATTCTCATAATGCCAAACTCCTTGGAATTGAAAAAGATTTAAACAATTCTGTCCTTGTTGTCATGGAAGACATATATTCAACTATTCAAGAGATTACTGCTTCCCGCATGTTTCGTATTCACCTTTGTAGTTGATGTTCTACGTCTGTTGGTTTTTAATGGAGATATTCTGGGTCACTCACCTTCAATTTGTGATGACATGGTTCTCTTCCTTGAAGAGGACAGTGATACCATTGTGAATTGATTTTTCTGAATTTCTTTGAAGCTCTCTTGTTGAAGGTAGATAATCGGGTTTCTTCTTCCTAGTGACTGTGGCTGGTTGCCAAGTTTTGTGGTGGCATCATTTTCATGATTTCTTTAATGGTGTTGATATTCAAATTTTGCCAACCATACTGTATAATTTTTGAAAAGTATAACTTATCTCTTGTTTATGGTTAACAAGAGGAGTCATGCTTAATAACTCTTAATCATTTATTACCTTTATTACTTAATTGACCTAATGTTGAAGAAAACAACTAAAACTATGAAAGAAGAACGGACAACATGTGTCTGATTTAGAGAGTTAGTTGGTTTTTATTTCACCCATATGTATTAAGCAAAAAATGTAATTAATGGTTAGGATTTATCAAACAAAACTTCTCTCGTTAATAGTAAACAGGAGAGAACCAAATCCGTTAAAATTAATAAAATAAAATTTTAAGCTGTAATTTATTATGCAATAAAATAAATTCAAAGTGTGAGATCTTTACAGTTCTGTTAGTAACTCTAGAGGATCATGATCCGTTGTATTCTAAGTCAGGGTATTGGTCATCTGCTATAAAAGTTCTATCTTTTATATTATGATTATTGCTAACTTGTTCTCTTCATGGACATTCTCTCATCTGAGAGACCCTTCAAAATGTATTGTCATGATACTTGAAATGAAAAAGTATGAGGAAGTACATGAGTATGTGATTGGTTCTGCTGGTAAGCTGAGCTACTCTAGCAATGCAAAATATATCTTGCTTGCTGCCCTTCATTTGAAGAATGGGAATGTGCTGCTCGCCAGTAAGGTTATTTCTGAGATGATGGACAGGGGTCTTAAACCTAATTTTTCAGCATACAAAAAAATTAAGGCTCATCTTGAGAAGAAAGATGAAAAAGTCTTGTCTATGGAATTATTAATAAGATACTTGAGCTTCTTTTGAAAAATGAAGAAAGATACTAGATTTTATGTGACCAGATACTGGAATGGCATTCGGTGTTTGCTCATGGACATTCTCTCATCTGAGAGACCCTTAAAAATGTATTGTCATGATACTTGAAATGAAAAAACATGTTCAGGTTTTTCTCTTCTCTCTTTACAAAGTTGAAGTGAATGTGTTTGTAGATATGAACTTGAATGGTGCCTTATATTAGTAATGACATGCTAGTTGAATGACTTGCTTTTGGATTGCTTGATAATTTATTGGATTTGGAACTTCTCATCTGCATTCTGGAAAGTTGATTCATACTCATGCATTTCCAGTTCTCTTTTACTCTAATAAGTTGGTTTAAAAGAATTTAAATCTGTTTCTTTTTTCTATTTTCACTTTCAATTTTACATTTATGTTGTCATAAATATTCATGTTATCTTTACTAGAGCTTTTGCTACATAGCTTATTTTCTTTACTTGAAATATTTACTATTCATTGTTTTATCCAGTCCTAATGCCGTTAGGGGAAATTAAAATGGATTGAAACTTTCTCTTCTTGTTATTCAGTTATTCAGTGACAGGAATTCTGTTGGAGAAAGAAATGTGGTTCTAAGATGATAAACTATGAACGCCCTTTTAATCTACTTCCAATGGAATGTATTGAAACACGGACCTTCTAAAAGATTCTCTGCATTGAGCTGTTTGTATGCTTATCACAGGCATTGCTTCTCCCTTTTTGTGAAATGATTATGTTATTAAACATTTTTGCCACTTCAACATTTGTTAAATGAGAGATTCTGAGATTTTCTCAGTTTGGCCAAAGCCTTAAAGGTATAGGAGACATAAGTCTTTGAACAGTAGTTTTCATTTGTGACTGAGGATATGTTTGGACAAACTTTTCTATAAACCCTTTTAGGAGAAAAAAAAAACATGATTAAAGTTTTAAAAGAGCTTCCCCACATATTAAAATTAGTGATATGTTTTGCTGAAACAACTTCTCATGTCCTTAGAGATTTTAGTGATATGGTTTTATATTTGTGGTTAGTGTCTTTGAATGAAACTGGAGTAGGTCACAGTGGGGACACATTTGGAGACATGATAAAATGGCTAACTTGGCCATAAGCTTATAATAGGTGTTCCTACTTTTGTACCAGTATTTTGTCTCCAACTTCTATTGTTGCAATCATAGTCATGAGAATCTTACCTTTCACATTTTTAGTAATATTAAACAAATTATGATAATTCACGATTCACTGTTTGAATTTGAATTTGATAATCTTGGTTGAAATAACTGTTTATGATAATATACTCATTGGTATATTTCTTTTTGTAGTTGAGAACAATCAACTTACATATTTTTTTTTCATTTCGAAAATGGTATTATAAGTATAAAAATTGCATTCAAGAATACTCTTTCCCAAATAAAATAAAATAAAGTTGTATTTTTTGGGAGTAGGTACTTTTTTAGAATGTTTTTGGTGTGATTTTAATGTTAGTAGTATTCAAGTTATACCTAGGACAATTATTTGAATATGGATAAGGGTATAATCGTGCTAATAACTCTTATAACTTTTATTCCTTTTTGGTGGAAATACAATTGGGTAATTAATTAAAAAAATATATATCTTGCTTTTTTATTAATTAAAATTTTTTTTCTTTCTATTTTTAAATATATTTACTTTTTTATTCTACTAATTTCGTATCATACTTTTGCTATTTTTTAAATACATAAATCATAGAATTTTTTAAAAATTATTATATTTCTATTTTTCTGTCTCCAAAAACACACAAATTAATTGTGAAAGGGATTTTTATTTTTTATATTATTAATTTTATTTTACTTTTTGAATATACACATTTTTTATTATTATTTTTACATATTTTTTCTCTTTTCTTTTTTTAATGTATAAATAATTTTAATTTTTTTTTGCTAACTTATATTATATTCTATATTTATTATACGTTGTATTTTTTTCTTCTCAATAACATTAAAATAGCTATAAAAAAGAGGAATTTTTATATTATATATAAAATATAGATTATAAAAAAATCTTTGATTCATTTCAATAGTTATTTTAGTTTTTTTTTACTCAAAATTCGTTGATATTTAGTATATTTATTTTATAAAATTTAGTGAGAACTCATTTTTATTTCTTTTTATTGGATTATCCCTTATGACACTTTTGGGAGCAGTTATGTAACATCACACTAAAAAGAAAAAAAAATCGATGAGTGTGACAAATAAATAACTTCATTATCTAAACTTTTTTTTTTCTTTCATTACTTTTTGAGTTCTCACGTGGAAAATGTTTTTATTTGATCTTCAAACAATTATATAACTCTAATCTTGAATTTGATTCATAACCATGCGTTTTGATGAGGTCATGTAATATATTTCAAAACACTTTTATAAGTAGATATTTTAATTTTTAATTTTATCCTAATTTAGAACTTTATCTTATTTATAAGTCATCTTTAGAATTTACAATTTTTATAAATAAACATTTTTTTAATTTCTTTCTAATCAATTCTTAAAATATTTTTTATTTTTTTTAAGTTGTTTCTATCAAGTTAAAGTTAAAATATTTATCTTAAACGTCAATTATGCATTGATATTTTTCTTTTTTATTATTACATTTCATCTTTTTAGTATATTAAAATATGGTAAAATATGCATTTAGGATAAAAAATCAAAGTATTTTTTTTTATTTTTTAATTCTAAATTAAAAAAATTGTAGTTCTTTTGTCAACCCTAATGTCCTAGGCTCTATTCTTCAAATAGTTTTTTATTTTAAGAATTTAAAAAATTATTTTTGCTTTTTAATTTTTTAAAAACTAAAAAACATTTGTTTAACTAATGATAGGCTTTTTCTATTTTTTTAGTTTTTTAATTAATAATATTTATGTCCTTACCAATGCTTTATTATATTATATGTCTTTATTATTATTATTATTATTATTATTAATAGTTATTAAAAATCGTTTTTTAATTTTTATTAAATTTTTATAGTTGTCACTGTTACTCTCCTTATCGAAAACGGGTTCCAAAATAAACTTTTTAAGCATTTTTTTTAAAGTTGCTTTTTTAAATTAATCACTACAATTATTTTATAAAATTTAAAAATAAAATTAATTCAAAGAAACCCTTACTAACCAATAAAATTACTCTATTTAAATATTTTTTTAAGCACATCTCACAATTTTTTTATCTACTTTACTCAATAAATAATAAAACTTATTAATTCTTAAAATCTAAAGTTATATATATATATATATATATATATATATATATATATATATGATTTAAATGTATAAATAATTTGTTGAAAGAAACATTAATATAATTTTAATAATAATTAGAACTAGTACGTTCAAAATCCAATCAATAAAAATAAGAGAAAAATCGATTTTTTATTAAAAAAATTTAAAATTAATTAATTTAATTTTCAATTTAAACCAATCAAAATTATAATATATATTATTAAAATTTAAACACAAAAATAATTTATAATAAGTATTATTATTATTTTTAAATTCAGTGTAAAAATATATAAAAATAAACTAAAATTATTAAAATTATAATTATTTATATATAATATTTTTATAATATATTTTTATTAAATAATTATTTTATTATAATATATTTAATATTTTTTAATAAAAAAATCACAAAAACCATAAAAAATAAATCATAAAAATCAAATCAAGCCAAATCACATTTAAGTTTTATTTTTAATTCGAATAATTTTTTAATATAACATCAAACAACTATCACTTTCTTTATTATTATTTTTTTTTGTGTGGTTGATACAATAGATCGAGAAATAAAAGTAATTAAAGGTATAACAAAATTGTATCTTTTGACCAATGCTTATTTTTTTTTTTTTAATATTCTTGTATAAAAATGTACTTATACATTTATAACCAGATAAGATTAAAAAAAAAAATCAAATGTATAAACCTTTCTCAGAACAATGTTTCACTGAACGAACTTAAACATATAATAAAATTTATTATCATTAGCAGAATTTATATCATATATATATATATATATATATATATATATATATATATATATTATATAAAAATCAGATAAAAATAAGATTATAATTAATAAAAAGTAATTATGAAAAACTTTGGCTAACCTTGAAAAACACATGGCAACGTGCAGCCACATCACGTTATTATTAGACTTTCATCTACAAAAACACGTTTTCCCATAAACACATAAACAGTTCTTTGATGCTTGAAAAAAGCAAATCCAAACGCGCTTTTACTTAGAACTATTCTTCCACCGAAACCAAAACTTCACATTGAAACGCGCAGAATTTCAAAACACTCTTCCCCATTGACCTTGACTCTTGCCATTTTTCACGTTTCACTTCAACCTTTTTTTTGTTGTTCTTCTTCACATAGAGATTCCACAACATGATTCATATTTTGATCATTTTCTCACTTTTTCTCTCTCAATCTCACCGTCCACACATTCTCTCACTAGCCCCACCATTTCTCATACCTTTGTGCCAATAATATTCAATATTTTTCCTTCAACTTTTCTCTCTCATTTCTTTATATATATATATGCACCAGTTCTTTAACATTTTATCACTACCACCTTCACTTTCATAGCACTCAAACTCATCTCATCTCGTCTCATCTTAGTTTTATTCCACTCTCTCTCTCACCATATTCTTATCAGTAGCAGCTTTCATCACCAATCATGGCATCCTCAACCTTGACTTTGAGAACCGTCTCCTCTTTCTCTTTGAGACCTGCTTCAAGATCATCACTCACCACTTCATCCACTACAACCCTCTTACCCTTTACTTCCTCACACTCTCCTCTCTCCAAATCTCTCAAACTCAACACCTCTTCCCCACTCTCTCATCTCTCAGTCCCCCACAAGAGTTTCACTTGCAGAAGCCAGGCTGACCCATCATCTGACTCAGGTGCATGTTCCAGCTTCGGCTACAAGTTTTTCAATCTTGTTATTCTATTGCTCTAATTAATGCTGTCTACCCCTACATTGAAGATCTCTGGAATTTGCTTCATTCTGTGCTGACCCTTTTGGTTTTTTTGCTTGATCTTGCAGCCAAAGTCCAAGAACTGAGTGTGTATGAGATCAATGAGAGAGATCGCGGAAGCCCTGCTTACCTTAGGTTGAGCCAGAAAACTGTCAATTCCCTTGGTGATCTAGTCCCCTTCAGCAACAAGGTTGGTCCTTATTCAATATTTCCAAAATTTCTGACTCTTTGTTCAGTTTTCGTATAAACTTGTTTCAGTAGTGAAATCATTAACTTCATACTTGCTTTTTCATTTACCTGATTGTGTATGTTTGTTTAAACTTTGATGTTAATTCGTTTTTTCGATTGCATTATTTAAAGTAAAAAGTATTATAAGTAAAGAAATAACTGACTCAACACAAAACCGGCTCAAGAAGGATTTTTGTTATCCATCTTTAGCGGATTTTTCATCAAAGAGGGTAGTAACTTTATTTTGATTCCCTAGTACAGTTTTGCAAGCATTCACTCATTTAATAATTAACTTGGAACGGTAGGATAAAAAACTAGATGACTAAATCAGATGTAAATTTAGCTCTTACAAACTGAGTCTAATTGCATGAAAAATCAACTATACACTGATGAATACATCAGACCTTAAAAGGCACATTCAAAATCTGAGTAATCTTATCTTCATTCAATTGTTACAAATATTGTACTAACTACACAAATGTGTGTAAAATTGACAGTGTTGAATTCATTTCATTATTCAAAATTTGTGTATGTCTTCTGTGTTGACTTTCATTTTTTGGATGATGCAGTTGTACTCTGGATGCTTGCAAAAGAGGGTGGGGATAACAGCTGGAATCTGTGTTTTGATCCAAAACAAAGCAGAGAAAAAGGGAGATAAGTACGAGGCAATCTACAGCTTCTACTTTGGGGACTATGGTCACATTTCAGTGCAGGGTTCTTACCTAACCTATGAGGACACATATCTTGCTGTCACCGGTGGATCTGGCATCTTTGAAGGGGTCTATGGTCAGGTCAAGCTGCATCAAATTGTGTTCCCCTTTAAACTATTCTACACATTCTATCTTAAGGGTATCAAAGACTTGCCTCAGGAGCTTCTTTACAAGCCCGTTGAGCCCAGCCCAGCTGTTGAGCCCAGCCCAGCTGCCAAGGCCTGTGAACCACATGCTGTTATTGCTGGTTTCACTGACTGAGGACCAAAGAAGATGCTATATGTTTCTTTCAGTACCCTAACCATCTCAGTCTACACTCATTTTAAATTTCAGATATCAGATAACTTGAATAGTCTTGGATTAACTTTTTTTGTAATGAAAGGAGACAAGACACCCCTCTTATCAATTTCAAATTAGGTCATCTATGATAAAGATTTCACATTCAAGATTAACTTTTTTGCAGTGAAAAAGGGTGTGGTTGAGGTTGTTGGAGTTGAGGAAGAAAAAACCAATGAAAATCAACGTTTTTTTTGCTTTATTGTCTTCATTATAGACTTAATCTAAAGACCCTTTTGCATCAAGTTCACAATTCAACCTTCCGTTAGATTTGTGTGATTTGGGTAGTGATTGTGGGTCAAGAAGATGTGTGAGGTAGTTAGTAGTAGGTTTTGCTGTTGTTGAATGATGGAAAAGTGACAAGAGAGGTTGGGTTTTGCAGTGGTGCAGATAATGGAATTTATAGAAACCATTATTGTACTTGGTAGTGGTAGGTCATGGCAATTATTGCTGAGCATAATATTGTTGAGGAACCACATGGTTTAATATTGAGCATGATCTTGTGAATTTTTAAGATTGTCTTTGCCTTTTTGGGTGTTTTTTATGACACAATGCAGAATAATAGGGTATATGAGAATATTGCATTAACTAATTTTATGTAAGATGATGTGTAAAATGTGGGTATATTATATTGATATAATGTTTGTGATAATATACAGTGAAAAAAATAAATGACAAGCTTTTACAAATTTTGAACGGTTCCATTGATGTTTAATTTAATTGTATTGTATCTTAGAAGTTTTTTATTTACTGTTTTTAAAAATAGATTTTAACTAGTTTTTTATTTTTATTAATAGATATCAATATTTTCATTAATAATTATATTAAATAACTTAATTTTACAATCATAAAATTATCAAAATTATTATTTAATTTTAAAATTAATCTCTGAATTAAAAAAAAATCAAACTACTTTTAATTTCAAATGCTTATGTAGTAAATCAAAATCAAAATTAATACTATTAGACTCATGTGGGTAATAAATATGTGGCAATAAAGTCATGATATTCTTTTTAATTTTATCAATGTATTTTATTTTTTTGGAAAATTATCCTCGCTTTTTCTTCTTCTTTTTTTATGAAATTTAGTTTTATTTAAGACCTAAAAATCCTTTTAATTATTTAAAAAATATTATTCCACCGATCTTTACTATTTTTTAAAGTGTTTGAATACATTGTTTTTATTTCTATAAGGACGATTGTTAGTAACGGTGAAAAAAAAATCTGGATTTTTTTAATTATTGATACGTGTGTTTTAATTTTATTCATCAAATTCTATAAATTTTTAATTTTGTTTAATTTTTAATTCAACTAATTAATTTGTTGGTGCAAAAGAGACGATAAAAAAAATGAGAATAAAAGAAACTTAGACGGTGCAAAATGGAATGATGACGTGGTTCTCGTTGGGGAATTTGGAATCTAACGATGAAGCTAAACAAAAGTATTTAGTACAAAGTAGATGCAAGGTTGTGTTAAGGCATGCGGAAACGGACAAAATGAAGTTTCTTTCTACTTTTCTTTGGTTTTTGTTTGCTACTTCATCTTCCTTTATTTTAAAAATATATATTTCTCTTATTTTCTTTCGAAGTTTATTAAATTTTTGTGTTTTAAAAGTTAAGATATTAGAAACGATTTAATTTAGATTAAGGAAGTAAAAGAGAAGGTAAAATATTAAAAAAAAATCAGTGAACATTTTTTCATTATTTAAATTTATAAAATGTTATAAAAATTGATTAATTTAGATTGAGGAAATAAAAGCCAAGAACTGATATCAAAATAATTTTCTTCATTTAATTTTTTATATTACAAAAATATTTATATATTAAATGACGTAATATGTTTTTTAACATGTGAAAGTACGATGTTCTAATAATTATTCTTTCTTTTTATATTTGTTCAGAAATATAAAATTATGTATCTTTGTTCTCTACGTACCTTTGTTTCAATATTATTTCCTGTCCATTGAAATTGACAAAACTATTTAAGACAGAATTTCAATTCGTATATATAATCAAAGACGAAGATACCATTAATAAAACACAATAGTTTTTATTTTTTTAATATTTAAAAATTAGTTTTTAAAAATTATTTCAATAAAATAATTATTGTATATATATATTTTATTTTTTTATTTTTTAAACTAAAAAAGTAAAAAATATTTTTAAACCCAATAAACAAACAATATCTAAATCGTTACTCTAATAACATCAAGTAACAAGAAAGAGATACGTGGACAATTATGTAAACTTTTCTGTAGTTTTCCTAAGTTCTTAATTTATTATAGAAAACTATTCTACAGGAACTTTAGATTATTGATTTTCACAATTTTACATACATCGTAGTAAGAAGACTAACCGTGATCCATGAGAATCTTTTCTTCAATCTTTTCGTTCTCCAATCTCCTTTTCCCAATCTATCTCTTTGTCTTTTTTTCTCTTCTCACGCTTCGCTTTCTTGATGGTTTTACCGTGAAAAAAACCTTATGGCCAGAGACAGAACCGTAATCCCTTTTATTAACCAACGTCCATCAAGTTGGTTACCGTAAGTTAATATTTCATTTTATCTTTATTTTATTCTGACTTCACATAATAACCAATAGGTCCTTATAATTTATTAAATCACATTTGAGTCTATCATTATATTTCATATGAGTCACATAATGGAATGAATTAATTAAATTAATTCTAACATTCTCCCACTTGACTCATATGATGTCATACAATTATGTGATTTAATACTTAAGTCATAATGCGCATTAAATGACCTTACATAAATTGGTTCTATCATTATTCATAATTAAAGATACAGCTATAACAAGAGTCATGGCGGTTACATGTCATTCAATCGACAAGCTCCCTTCCATGTACCACTATATTATCTCTTTCTCCTTAATATGACTTTATAATGAGAAGTCCATAATGGGTTCAAACATAATATTATTTTAAAAATAATAACATAATTTGTTTTCTTCATCATAATTTGCATGCATATAAATAAAGAAGAAAACACAAATTTCAAAAACTTATACATTAAAGATCTCAGAGTGTCACATAAACATTAATAATAACATTAACATTCAATATTCACTACTAGTAAACATAATGTCCATATTTACTATATGTCCAGCAAATAACTTGAGCGGTAATCCCTTTGTTAAAGGATCAACAATCATAAGATCAGTGCTAATATGTTCTATTGACACTCTCTGTTTCTGAACTTCTTCTTTAACGGCAAAGTATTTCAATTCCATATGCTTAGCACATTTGGAATACTTGTCGTTCTTAGAAAAGAAGACTGTTGCGAAATTGTCACAATAAATTTTCAGCGGCTTGGCAATGCTGTCGACTACTCCAAGTCCTGAAATAAAATTTCGCAACCAATTAGCTTGAACTGTGACCTCAAAGCATGCCACAAATTCAGCTTCCATGGTGGATGCAGCAATGACAGACTGCTTCGCACTTTTCCATGAAATCGCTCCTCCCGCTAAAAGATACACATAACCAAATGTAGACTTTCGTGTATCCATACAACCAGCAAAATCTGAATCTGTATATTCAATCACCTCAAGGTGATCAACTTTCCTATAAGTAAGCATGTAATTCTTTATTTCTTGTAAGTATCTTAAAACTTTCTTTGCAGCCTTCCAATGATCCAGTCAAGGATTACTCTGGTATCTACCAAGTATACCAACTGCAAAGCTAATATCTGGCCTCGTACATGTTTGAGCATACATCAAACTCCCAACAACAGATGCATAAGGGATATTTTCCATCTGTTTCCGTTCCAAGTCATTCTTTGGACATTGCATGAGACTAAATTTGTCTCCTTTCTGTATTGGAACGGGAGATGCTGAACAATTCTCCATTCTGAATCTCTCTAAAACTTTATTAATATATGCTTTCTGAGACAAACCTAACAGTCCTTGTGATCTATCATAGAATATTTCTATTCCTATCACATAGTATGTCTCACCCATATCTTTCATTTCAAAATTGTTAGAGAGAAACTTCTTAGTCTCACTTAATAGACCAAGATCATTAGTTGCAAGCAAGATATCATCAACGTACAGAATCAGAAATATAAACTTACTCCCACTGACCTTCAGATATATACACCGATCAACAGTGTTTTCCTTAAATCCAAATGACAAAATAGTATCATTGAACTTAAGATACCATTGTCGAGAAGCTTGTTTAAGTCCATATATTGATTTCTTAAGTTTACACACCATATGTTCCTGTCCTTCTTCAATAAACCCCACTGGTTGATTCATATAAACATCCTCCTCTAAATCTCCATTCAGAAAAGCAGTTTTAACATCCATTTGATGCAACTCAAGATCATAATGAGCTACTAATGCCATGATAATTCTAAAGGAATCTTTCTTAGAAACAGGTGAAAATGTTTCCTTATAATCAATGCCGTCTTTCTGAGTAAAACCTTTGGCAACAAGTCGGACCTTGTAACGTTCGATATTGCCATGAGAGTCACGCTTAGTCTTAAAGACCCATTTACACCCAACACTCTTACATCCTTCTGGAAATTCCACAAGATCCCATACACCATTATGTGTCATTGATTTAAGCTCATCTTTCATAGCATCTAACCATTTATCAGAATTATCACCATTAATGACATCTGAAAATGAAACTGGGTCATTATCAATACTTAGGTCATTTTCTGACTCTTGTAGATAAACCACGTAATCATTCGAAATAGCAGACTTTCTTTCTCTGTGAGATCTTCTTAATACTATTTCCTATGGTTGTTCTATTATCGGATCATTATTAATCTCAGGATCATTAATTTGTTGTTCTTCTTGATTGTCGTGTGATTCTACAACATTTACAACAACAACTCTTGAAGATGTACTTGTTATTGGAACTTGTACTCTAACTTCCTTAATCTCCACATTTCGTGAAACTT